ATGTGTTCAAATTATAGCATCCTCTAATAATCTTTTTGATATATGCAGCATATTTTTTCTTTCTTAATATTGCTCATGTATGTCTTCTATTTTTGTTCTATCCTGTTTTTGTCTTGATTAGTCAACACTACAGGTTTGTCAAATTAACAGTCCTTTCAAAGAATCAACTTTGGAAGTTGTTGACTCCCACAATAGCAAGTTTATTTTCTTTGTAATTAATCTCTGAACTTCTGTTAACTATTTTCTTCCATCAATGTTCTTTTTCTCTCTCTTACATTTTTTCTAACTTCTTGAGATAATTAGCTGGCATATTAATTTTCAACCTGCATTCTCTTCTAAGATAAGCCTTTCAGGTTCTCAAAAGTTTTGATATGAAGTATTTTCATTATCTTTTGATTCAAATTATTTTTGTTAAGTTCTATTATATATATTTTTACCCATGGTGTGTTAATTTCAAAGACTATTGTGCTTTTTGATGTTTGTGTTTTATTTCTAACGTGCTTTCTGTCAATCCAGTCCTTTCAAATTTGTTGAGACTTGCTTTATTGCCCAGTGTAACGGTCAATTTTTACAAACATTCCACGAGCTTGTAAATGATGTTTCTTCCGCAATGTGGTAAGTGCATCTACAGACATGTATATGTCCATTAGCATCAAGTTTATTAAACATTTTGCTCATTACTGAATGTGTTACTGAAATGTGTTACAATCTCCCACTATGTTTGGGAATTTGGTTTTCTTCTTGTAGTTTTGTCATTTTTTTCTCTAAACAGTTTGAAGTTATGTTATTAGTTGCATAGAATTTTTAATTGCTATATTTTCCTGGCAAATTGAACCTGCTATCATTATGAAGTAATATTCTACTTCTATCCAGTAATGCTTTTTTTTCCTTACAGTCTACGTTATCTGATATTAGTTTAGCTATACCACCTTTCTTTTAATTAGTATTTGCATGATACAAAGTTTTACGTTCAATCTTCAGTTTTCTTGTTTGAAATATATTTCCATATATGTCAGCTTATAGTCGGAATTTTCCATGCAGTATGATAATCTGTGTCCTTTAATTGGATAATTTAGTCAATTTATATTTATATATTTATATAAAATATATTTAAAATGTCTGACATTTTTGGCTTTAAGTTTTCCTATTTGTTCCAGGTAGTTTGTATTTCTTTTTCTATCTTTACTTGTTCTCTAATAATTTAATAGCTTCTCTAATTCCATTTTTCTCTTTCTATTTTTAGTGGTTACCTGCGAAATTACAACATACATACTTACCAAAGTCTGAAGTTATTCAACATCTTTTAACTTCCTCCAGGACAATACTAGCTTCTTAAAAAAAAAAAACATTTAACTCCGTTTATACTCCTTCAACCTATATTATTATTATATTTTTCAATTTAAGGTAATGTTAGATGCTGCTGCAAACAGGCATCTAAAATCTTAGTGGTTTCATACACTCACATAAAGCCCAATGCAGACACTCCTGGGAAGTGGATAGCCTTCCGTACGTTCATGTTGAAATACTTACATATCGTGCTCCTGTCCTTACTTACAGCCTTTCCATTAAGCTCACCAGCAGAAAGGCTCACACAAGTTTTAAATGCTCCAACCAAGAAGTGATATACATTACTCCCATTCATATTGCATGGCTCTATCTAAATATAAGGAGGTCTGAGAAACATGGTTCCTGAATTGGCACATGCTTTCCAGCCACAGCTGTAGACTGTAGTATCAGCCAACCAGCTATGACAGATTATTGTTACTTGTTTTAATTTAATCTTGTCTCTGTTTTAATTTCACCAGATACAATTATTATTGGTTCATGCAGGCCACGTTCAAATAATTATTACTTTCATTACTCTTCATTCCCTTTGAATCTCAGATCTCCCATCTGGGATCACTTTCTTTCTGCCTGAAGATTATTTATAATTTCCTTTAGTAATATTGGACTGTTGGCATATAAGTGGAGGCAAAGAAACAAAGAAGAAAAATGGAAAATAAGGTGATAGTGTTAATTCTAAAAATATCATTAATCACAAGAATGCACATGATTTAAACTGAAATAATTAAAACATATATATTTTTATATTGAATAGGGAACAACAGTTCCAGTTATATGCTGTTTACAAGAAATACTGCTGAATTGGCAAGGATTATATATAGCTGCATGAGACAGAAAACTCAATAATGACATTTTCTAATAGGAAGAAGTTTATTTCTTTCTCACATAAAAGCGGCTTCTTGACCTTCAAGGACCTGGGCTCCTTCCAGCTTCCTAGTCCATTATGCCTAGGTAATGACTTTGTCTTCACATGGCATTTTAAACAGCAGATTAGAGAAAGGCCACAATGAAGAATAGGTACCATCCCTTTAAAGAAGCTTCCTGGAAGTTCCAAATGTTATTTCTGCTTACATCTCACTGGATGAAACTTTGAAAAATCTGGCTACGAAAAGAGCTAGGGAATGAAGACTTCTATATGAGCAGGAGTATGCCTATCTGAAAACTGAGGTTTGTTAAAAAAAAAAAAAAAGGATCAAATAGAAATTGGAAGAGGTATATATAGAGATGTTTATTAAATATTGTTTGTAATGGCAAAAATAGAAACAACCAAAATGCCCACAAAAAGCATAAAGGATACAGTACAGCATATTCATATAATGAAACATCACACACCAATGCAAAAAATTAACTAGAGACAAAGAATTTTGAGGACAGTGAAACTACTCTGTATGATACTAAAATGGTAGATATATGTCACTATACATTTGCCAGAACTGATAGAATGTACAACACCAAGAGTGAACCCTAGTGTAAACTATGGACTTTGGGGATTATAATGTGTCACTGTAGCTTCATCATTTGTAATAAATGGACCACACTGGGATGGGATGTTAACAGCGAGGGAGGCTATGCATGTGTGGGAGCATGCATAGTGGACGGGAACACCCTCCACTTCCTTGCCATCCTTTCACTTCATAATGACTTGACAAAAGCATCAATCTTCAAAACACTGAGATAGAAAGATATCAGAACTAGAATTTTACACCTAGCCAAATTAGCCATCAGATGAGGAGGGAAAGCAAAAGTATTTTCATTAATAAAAGAACTCAATGTTTTCCATTTATACACATTGTGTTTAAAAAAAAGAAACTAAGGAGTGATTCTAGAAAAAATAGCAAAGGATTTCAAGAAAAGGAAAATGAGGCTTAATTTTCTGTAGCAGTTGATTTCACCCATAGAAGTAAAAGAAGTTGGAAAAAAATTTAAGAAGCTCCATTAGACCCTGATGCCTAAAAGACCCTCCTTTGACCATCAAAGCTTTACAAGCATAACAATATATTTATTTCTTTATTCAACAGTTAACATCATTTATATATTTATAATACTGTAAAATACTATTTATTGCTTTAACTTTTAAATCAATTTGTAAGCAAAATACAAAAGA